GGAGGGGGAGGAGGAGGAGGGGAGGAGGAGGAGGAGGAGGAGAGGAAGAGGGAGGAGGAGAGAGGAGAGAGAAGAGGAGGAGGAACAGGAGCAGGAGCAGGAGCAGGAGCAGGAGAAGGAGATGAGGAGGAGGAGGAGGAGAAGCGCGAGCGGGGCAAGGCCTAATTGGGAACGGGGGGGGGGGAGAGGAGGCGGCGAGGTCGCAGCCGCTTAACCTCATCTCACGGAATTCACACCCACTCCATGAATAACATTTCCTGGACGGATGGGAAGCAGATCCATCACGGGCGCTGGATGGGGTTCTGCGGGTTCCGCGCCTAAACCCTCGTCTTCCAGGCCGCCCCTGTCCTCTCCTCTCTCCCTCCCTCTACGCCCGCATCCCTCGTCTACCTGTACCTCTACGCCCATCACCCCCCTCCCCTTTCTCCACCTCCGCCTCCATCTCCTTTACCTCCTTCTTAAACTTCTTCTTCTTACTCCTCCTCCCCCTTTTTCTCCTTTCTCCCTCTCCTTCATTCTTCTCCTTCTCCCCTCCGTCTTCGTTTTCACTTTCATTGTCCAATTATCGTTACTACGCATATTCCTCCCCTCCTCTCCCCTCCTCCTCCTCCTCCTCCCCTTTCTCTTCCTTATCATCATCATTATAAAAGCCCATTCCCCCATCATCATCAATCACCATTGCTACTTACCCCTTCACCTCCATCACCGCTATCCTCCCCCCCCCTTCACCCCCTTTCCCCCCCCCCCCCCCCCTCCCCCCCCCCCCTTCCCCCTACGGCTGGGCCCCTTCTCACGCCTCTTCATTTACAAATTCAATGAATAACAATACATCTTCCTGCTACTGCGTGGAGAGGAGAGAATAAGAAGAACATTCCTTTCATCTCCGTTGCCTCTTCCTCATTCCATTCCCTTGCCTTCCTTCCCTTCCCCGTTCCTGTCCTTCCCCTTCCCCTTCCCCTTCCCTTTCCACTTCCTCTATCTTCCCGTCTTCGTTCCTTCACTTTCCCTTTCCTTTTCCCTTTCCCCTCTCTTCTCTTCCCATCCCCTCCCTCCTCTTCCCTTCCCCTCCCTTCCTTCTCTTCCCTCCATTCCCCTCCCTCCTCCCTCCCCTTCCCTTTCCCCTTCCCTTCCCCTTCCCTTCCCTTCCTTCCCTCCCTTCCCTTCCCTTCCCTTCCCTTCCCTTCCCTTCCCTTCCCTTCCCTTCCCTTCCTTCCTTCCTTCCCTTCCTTCCCTTCCCTTCCCTTCCCTCCCCTCCCCTCCCCTCCCTTCCTTCCCTACTTCTCCTTCCCATAGCATCCTCTCCCACTCCCCAAACTCTTTACCCGCCGGGAGGAATCGTGCCGGAAGCCACCACGCAACAAAACAGCAACAATCGGTGACGTCACGGCGCCCGACCGAGCAAGGCCGAGGAAGAGCGGCCTCCCTCCCTCTCCTCCTCGGCAGGAGCCAAAATAAGCAACCCCTTCAGCCCCGCCCGCCCGCCCGCCCACACCCGGCGACGCGCGTACTAAACACACATAGGCCTACATACATGCACAAGCCAAAAAACACACAAACACACACGCATACACACATATATACATACATACTTACATACAAACATACACACACACACACACACATACACAATACACACACACACACACACAGACACACACACACCCACACACCCACACCCACACCCACACACACACACACACACACGACTTTTGAGGAAAGAAGTTTGGCGAGAAGATATCTAAGCCGTGAACAAACAATAAACAAACGCAAAACGAGCGGGTAAACGAAGCCTAGAATTGCATATATCGAATAATACCAATTATAATAACATACGACACTAACAAAATTTGGAATTATCTAACGGAATTAACGGGAATTCAATAACGATAATCCAATATAAAAGTTGGAAAGTTTTCAAAAATACAATGTCGGTTCATCCACCGGTGAACAAATCAAGTATAGAAAAACAACAACCACAACAACAACAACACGCTAGTAACAGCAACAACAATAACAACAAAAACAAGAACAACAGCAACAATACGCTAGCAACAGCAACAAGAACAACAACAACAACAGCAACAACAGCTACAGCAGCAACAACAACAACAACAACATGCTAGCAACAGCAACAGCAACAACAACAACAAAAACAACAACAACAGCAACAATACGCCAGCACCATCTTCACTACCACTAAAATAACAATAAAAATAACAAGAAGAAGAAGCAAAAGAAGAGCCCCACCAACAACAACGGATGTAACACACCAACGCGGCCCCCTTTCCCTCCTCCCTTTCCTTTTGCCTTTTCCCTTTAACCGGAGTCGAGGAGCGCGGACTCCTTCCTATCGACCTACATACAGGTAGGCCTAACTTCCGACTAAATGTTTTAATAAGGAAAATGACACACCGCACCCGCCCTCTTCTCTCTCCGCCCCTCTTATCATTTTCTTTCTTTCTTTCTCTCTTTCTTTCTCTTTATTTATTTCTCTCTCTCTTTCTTTCTCTCTCTCTCTTTCTTTCTCTCTCTCTCTTTCTTTCTCTCTCTTTCTACTCTCTCTCTCTCCGTCCCTCTTCTCGTCCTCTTTCTTTCTTCTGTCTGTCTGTCTGTCTGTCTGTCTGTCTGTCTGTCTGTCTGTCTCTCTCTCTCCGCCTCATCTTCCTCTTTACTTGTTCTATTTTCCCTTCTCTTCACCATCTCATTCTTTTGTTATGATTATTGTTATTATCGCCATTTCATTTTCTACACTGTCGTATTTCTCAAATTTTATCTTGACTGTCTTTATCTCTTCCTGTTTGTCTGTCTTCTTATTTCTGTCTCTCTCTGCCTGTCTTTCCTTCCTCTAATTCTTTGCTTCTTTTCATATTAAAATACTTTTCCAGCAGTTGTTTTCCTCCCTCTTCACAATCTTTCTTTTCGTTTCTTTTCTTTTATTTCCGTCTCCGCCTTGTTTTGTCTTCCCATTCCTTACCTTCCCTTTGCTTCCTCTTCTTCTTCATTGCCGTTTCTACCCTTATCTTTCCTTCTTTTATCACTTTCCCCCTTTCCCCCTCCCTTTCCCTTCCCTCCCTCATTCTCACTCTCCTTCCTTCGTTTCTTTTCCCATCGCCTTCCCCTTCTTCACTATCCCTTCATCCCCCCTCCCCCCCTTTAATGGCCCTCCCCACCTCCCCCTCCCTAGCCCAGGAGGCGGTCCTCTTCCGCTGCCCCCACATCCTCCCCCTTATCCACTCTTCCTCCCTTTCCTCCTTCCTCCCTCTAACCTCTTTCTAATCCGCCTTTCTTCGCCTCCCTCTCCCCCCCCCCCCCCCTTCGGCCCCTGTACATTGTTCTTTTTTTCTTCTTTGTATCCCCTCGTAATCCTTGCCCATAACGCTCGCATTCCTCCAGCTGACTTAGTCCCCTCCTACCCCCCCCCTCCCTTCCGCCGTCTCCCCCTATCCCCTTGCCATCCACCATCCCTGCCCCTCCCCTCCCCTCTCCTTTTCCGATATCTTCCTCACCGCCCCCCCCACTATCCCTCCCTCTCTCTCCTCTCCCCCTTTCGCAATCCCTCCCTCTTCCTCCCTCCTCTTCCTCCCCTTCTTCCTTCCTTCCTCCCATCCTCCTCCTTCCACCCATCCTCCTTCTTCCTCCCTTCATCCCCTCTCAGACCTACCACCCTCCCGTCCCCCCGCTCCCCATCCTTCGTCTGCGTCAGGAAAACCCTCCCGACCCTCGCTTTCTTCTCCTCCTCCTTCGTCCTCTTTCGCTTCTCCATCCTCTTCCAAAATCCTAAAACCAACTTCCCCCTTTTTGACTCGGTTCACTTTCTTGCCCGTGACTCCATACGTATTCGCTAGCATCCCCCAACGGCGTCCACCGGTTCGTCTTCACATCCATCTTCGGTATCATTTCACTTTCTCCCTTTTTCACCTTTTCATGGTCCGATAACACCGCATCGTCACCTCTATCAGCGCCACCATTATAACTTTAATCAGCGCCCTCAACCTCGTTAATAAAACTTCTGCTTTTTCAAATCTCCGTTTCAATTATCCACCATCTTTCACCTTTATTGTCGTGCTTACTACAATAATTACCTATTTATCTCTAACTTCACAATCATCATCCATAACTTTTATAATGAAATTAATCAATTTTGAGTCTGAACATCAACATAATCCCTATCACTCTTATCATAGCCATTACTTATCAAAATTTCTCACTATCATCACCATTAGAGTCAATACATCCTTACTTACCAATAATTACCTATACCATCAACACCATTAGTACCATCTCCACCATTATCCCCTCTACCCTTACTACCATAACCACCATCAAGGCCACCCTAATTACCATATCCAAAAACAATACCATTACCACCCTGAGTACCATAACCACCTCCATTACCATCGCCACCCTCACTACCATGACCACCATTAGTAAAATCATCACCCTCACTACCATAGTCACCGTTAGTATCATCGACCCGTATTCCATAACTACCATCTTTATCATCATCATCGGCCAACACACCTCCCGGCCACCATTAGTATCAAATGCCATGACCTAGAACAATACCATCAGCACCATAACCACCATGACTACCATACCCACGATCACTACCATACCCAGGATCACTATCATGACTACCATAACCACGATGACTACCATAGCCACCATAACCACCATCACTACCAAGCCCAGGACCACTATCATGACTACCATACACACAATGATACCATAACCACGATGACTACCGTACCCACCATCACTACCATCACTACCATCACTACCATACGATCACTACCATCCAGGATCACTATCATATCACTATCACTACCACAGCCACCACTACCACAGCCACCATGACTACCAGCCACCATGACTACCATAGCCACCATGACTACCATAGCCACCATGACTACCATAGCCACCATCGCTACCATAGCCACCACTACCATAACCACGATGAGTACCATAACCACCGTGACTACCATACCCACCATGACTACCTAACCATCATCACTACCACAGCCACCATGACTACCATAGCCACCATGACTACCATAGCCTACCATAGCCACATGACTACCATAACCACGATGAGTACCATAACCACCATGACTACCATAGCCACCATGACTACCACAGCCACCACCACTACCATAACCACCATGACTACCATAGCCACCATGACTACCATAGCCACCATGACTACCATAGCCACCATGACTACCACAGCCATCATCACTACCATACCCACCATGATTACCATAGCCACAGCCACCATCACTACCATAGCCACAGCCACCATCACTACCATACCCACCATGACTACCATAGCCACCATCACTACCATAACCACCATGACTACCATAGCCACCCTGGCCCTCCCCCCAGCCCGGCCAGCGGCGACGGGCGGCGGCGGAGGTGCGATAAGGGCCGCCGCGGGGGAAGTGGGCGAGCGGCTTAACGTGGCAGCGGGAGCTCTCATGGTGCCATAAAACATGGTTTTACGGCTTCGCGAAAACGGCCCTCACATTCGCTCTTTCTCGCGGGGGGGGGGGGGGGGGGGAGGAGGGGGAGGGAGTGGTCCTTTTTCCTCCTACTCCGTTTGTTTGTTATCTGTGTGTGTGTGTGTGTCTCTAACATGTGTAATTTGCTCTTTCTCTTTCTTTCTTTTCTCTTCTCTCTCTTCTCTCTCTCTCTCTCTCTCTCTCTCTCTCTCTCTCTCTCTCTCTCTCTCTCTCTCTCTCTCTCTCTCTCTCTCTCTCTCTCTCTCTCTCTCTCTCTCTCTCTCTCTCTGTCTGGCTTTCTCTCTCTTTCGCAATTCTCCTCCCCCTCTTATTCTCCCCATTTCGCCCCCCTCCCGCATTCCCCTCGCAATTTCTTCAAAGCCCCTCTTTTCTTTCCAATTCCCTCTCAGCCCCTAACTCCCCTCTGCCCTCCCGTTCCCCTCGCCCTTCAGCCGACCACGACCCCTCGCAATCACCACGCCCTCCTCCTCTTCCCTCCTTCCTCATCTTTCAGCGCCGTTCTTACTCCTACCCTCCTTCTCCTTCCCCTCCCCTCCCCCTCATCTTTCAGGTCCATTCTCCCTTCTACCTCCCTGTCCCTTCCTCCACCCTTCCCTCCCCACCTTCCCTTCCTCCACCTCCCCTCCCTTTCCCTCTATCTCCCCTTTGCTCTCCCTACATCCTCCCCTCCCCACCTTTCCTCCACCCCTCCCCACTCTATCTTTCCCCCATCCACCTTTCCCCTCCTAAACCCCTCTCCTCCTCACCTTTCCCCACCTCCACCCCTGCCCGCCCTACCTTTCCCTCTCCTTCTTCCCTCTCCACCTCCCTTTCCCTTATCCACCTTTCTCCCGTCAATCTCCCTATCTCATCGCCTCCCTACCTTTCTCCTCTATTCTCCCCTTCTATCTCCCTTTTCCCCTTCTATCTCCCTTCCCCTCCCCTCTCCACCTTTCTCCCTTTATCTCCCTTTACCCTTATATCACCCTTTCCCTTTCCCCGCTCCACCTTCCTTCTATCTCCCTTTCCCCTCCCCTCTCCACCTTTCTCCTTCTATCTCCCTTTCCCCTCCCTTTTTCCCTTCTATCACCCTTTTCCTTCCCCTCTCCACCTTCCTTCTATCTCCCTTCCCCTCCCCTCTCCACCGCCCTCCCTTCTATCACCCTTTCCCCTCCCCTCTCCACCTCCTTTCTCCCATCAAACTCCCTACCCCTATCGTCTCTATCCCTACCCCTTCCCCTCCGTCCCCCCCTCGTCTCCCCTCGCCCCACCAGAGCCCCCCCCCCACCAGAGCCTCCCCCGCCCCCTCGCCCCGTGTGTTGCCCGATGTTTGCCGAGACAACACACGGCCCTCCATCAGCCCTCGCGCCGCCCGCCACCGTTTCCCCCATCAGCTGTTTCCTCGGCTGTTTGGTCCCTCGGCGTCGCGTGGCTGAGGCCGTGGCACGAGCGGGGCTAATAGGGAGTAAATGGAGTAGTCGCTGCGGTAGGGAGAGGGGGGGGGGGGGGGAGGGCGTGGCAATAGTTTTAAAGAGTTCAATAGTTGTCGTTTTAGTCGGCACGCGAGAGAAAGTATGAGTAGTGATTAATAATAGTGAAAGAAGTAACTGTGGCAGTAGTTATGGTAGTAGTTGTGCTGGTAGTTGTGCTGGTAGTTATGGTAGTAGTTATGGTAGTAGTTGTGGTGGTAGTTATGGTAGTAGTTGTGGTAGTAGCTGTCGTAGTAGTTGTGGTGGCAGTTGTGGTGGTCGTGGTAACAGGAACAATAGCAACAGTTCTGGTCGCGATACTCCCTGGCTGCTTGCTGCCGGTGCCGCGGTGGTGGCTGGAGTGGCAGGCGTGACAGTGAGGGTTGTCACGACCGCAGTGAAAGCAACAGCGCAACAGGAGCAACAGTCGCCGTCGCACGACTGAATACGACAACGCGATCAACGAACGAAAAAACTACTACGACTTTTGTTATTTCTTTTCTGCACCCTCCTCCTTCCTCTTTCCTTGACCTTTTAAGCCTTGCTATGAATCCCTATCTTCAGCTCTCTCAATCCTCTATCGCTGCTCTCTCTCTCTCCCCATCCTTCTTGCATCTCCTTCTAGTCCATTTTCTCTTCCTCCTTCGCTATTTCCGTCTGGAAGAGATCCTGATAGTAGATCTCTGCGGGTTTAAATTTCTTTTAAATCTCTCCTCTCTCTCTCTCTCTCTCTCGTCTCTCTCTCTCTCTCTCTCTCTCTCTCTCTCTCTCTCTCTCTCTCTCTCTCTCTCTCTCTCTCTCTCTCTCTCCTCTCTCTCCTCCCCACATTTCTTTCTTTCTTTCTCTCTCTCTCTCTCCCTCTCACTCTTTTCTATCCACATTCTATTTCCACCCTTTCTATTCCCGTCGTCCCAATTCCATCGCATTTTCTCCCTCGTCCCGTCCCCTCCCTCCCTCCTCCCTCCTCCCGCGTGCTCATCATCTACTCGTTAATTTTCTTCCCCCTCCAAAGCCTTCCCTCGCGTGATGTGTCATCCCTAAACCCTTCTCCTCCCTCGCCCCCTCCTCCCGTCTGCCTTCTGCTCCTTCCTCGCCCTCCCTCCGCCTTCTCTTCATTCCCCTTTCTCTTCTCTTCCTTCCTCTCTCCCTCCCCCCTTCTCTTCACTCCTCTCTCTCTCTCTCTTCCCTTCTCTTCCTTCCTCTCCCCTTCCTTCCCCCCCCTTGCCTTCCCTACCCCCCCTTTCGTGTCGAGACCCCCCCCCACCCCACCCACCCCACCCACCCCACCCCAACCCCCACCCCCACCCCGCCATCAGCTGACCCGCCATCCAGCGCCCGATCTCCATACCTGGTGGCACAGGTTCCCATACCTGGCGGCGCAACGACCTGCATCGGCGGTCACAGGCAAGGCCTAAGTCAGTATATAGCCCTTGGTCAGAGGGAGCGAGGCGTGCGTGCTCGCGCGTGCGCCTCGTGTATACGCACGTGAAGGCCCGCCGTCGTGTGGACTTACGTTAGGGACTCGCGTCGTCTATACGTACGGAAGGAGCGAGCGAGGTGCCGCACGATGCTTACCTGAAAGGAAAGAAATTTGGTGTTATTTTCACGATCGTAAAAAAACAATCAAATGAATTAAACGCAAAATAAAATAATAAATAATAAAATAAATAAATAAAACTGTTATTTTCACGATGGTAAACTGTAAACAATCAAGTGAAATAAACGCAAAAAATAAATAATAATAATAAAATAATAAATAAAAAATAAACAAAACGCATGCACACACGCACGCAAAAAAAGAGCCTACACCCACACCTGTGAAAGACAACACAATCATTGATTACGAGTGAGCCACCAATTCTCCCGGGCGAGAGGAGAGAGAGAGAGACAGACAGACTTCAGAATAGATAAAGAGAAAGAAAACGGCTGCGCGCAGTCCCTTGCCACTATCCAATCTTTTTTTTTTTTTTTTTTTTTTTTGACTTTGACGCGTTTATTGAGACAAAAAGCAAGATCACATCTCAAAAGGATGAGGTAACTGAGGCTATCCTCACCCTTGCTTAATCAGTCCCTGTTTCATTTCACGTCCTTCTTTACGTTTCCCCAAATCTACTTACAGACTCCGCGAATAAATACAAAAATCCCCCTCGGTACTTACCTAATGCAAACGCACTCCCGCCCACGCCCACGCCAAGACACAGGCACACGCGCCCACGCCGAAACGCACCTACATACGCCCGCACACACGCTCTCCTCTCTTCTCCCTCTCTCTCGCGGATGCGGGGGGGGGCGGTTTGGGTCTTACGGCCCATATTGGATAATAAAATCCCTTTTATGTGTGCCCCTTTGTGTGTGTGTTGTGTGTGTGTGTGTGTGTGTGTGTGTGTGTGTGTGTGTGTGTGTGTGTGTGTGTGTGTGTGTGTGTGTGTGTGTGTGTGTGTGTATCTATAATATATAGGCCTTTATTTCTCTCTCTCTCTTCATTCTCTCTCTCTCTCATATATACTACATACATGCCTACACACACAGCCACACACACACACACACACACACACACACACACACACACACACACACACACACAACCCCCCCCCACACACACACACACTCACTCACATGTACCTACGCACGCATTACGCCAAAGACGCACCCTCAGCGCGTGGGCCGGGCGCTCCCCCCCCCCCCCCACCCCCACCCCCCGCCGCCCAAGGAACGGGGCGCCACGATTCCTTCGCAGGAGATCGCCGGATAATTGGCCGCATCAGCGAAATAAAAATAGCGATCGAGGGGACCGAGGGGGAGGAGGAGGAGGAGGAGGAGGAGGAGGAGGAGGAGGAGGACGAAGGAGGAGGAGCGAGGGAGGAGGAGGAGGAGGAGGAGAGGAGGAGGAGGAGGAGGAGTAGGAGAGGAAGAGGGGAGGAGGGGGAGGAGGAGGAGGAGGAGGAGGAGGGAGAGGGAGGAGGAGGAGGAGGAGAGGAGGAGGAGGGAGGATGAGGAGAGAGGGAGCGAGAGAGGAGGAGGAGGAGGAGGAGGAGTAGGAGGGAGAGAGGAGGAAGCAGGAAGGAGGAGGAGGAGAGGAGGGAGGAGGGGAGGAGGAGGAGGGGGAGGAGGAGGCAGGAGGAGGAGAGGATGGAGATTGAGGAGGAGGGAGAGATGGAGGGAGGCAGGAGGAAGGAAGAGGAGGAGGAGGAGCGAGGAGGAGCTAGGAGGGAGGAGGAGGAGGAGGAGGAGGAGGAGGAGGGAGGAGGGAGGAGAGGGGGAGGGAGGAGGGAGGAGGAGGAGGAGGAGGAGGAGGAGGAGGCAGGAGAAGGGGAGGCAAGGGTTATGGAGAGGGAGAGGAAAGAGGGCAGGAGGTATGGGAGGGGAGAGGGCGTGAAGGGAAGGAAGGTGAGGAGGAGAGGAGTAGGTAAGGGGAGCCGAGGAGGAAAGGAGGGGAGGGAAAGGTAAGGGTGAGGGAAGAGAGAAAGGCAGAGGGCGCAGGGTGATGGTGGGCAGAAGGACAGGGGGTGAGATGAGGGAGTTTCAAAAAGAGGTAGAAAGAGGGGAGAGGGAGACAGAGGAAGGGAAAGGGAGAAGAGAGAGAGATAAAGACAGACACACAGACAGACAGACAAGTCAGAAAGACGATAATACACACACACACAAACACCACAAACACCCCCCCCCCCACACACACACACCCCCCTCCACACACCCCCACCCCCACACCCCCCACACCCCCCACAAAACCACACACAACACCCCCTCACCCCCACTCACAACCCCCCCCAACACACACACAAACACCCCCCACACCCCCACCCCACACACACACCCCTACGCCCCCCCAAAGCCTCGTCCGCCAGACAGGCAGCGCCAAACCCCGGAGCGGAAGCGATACGAAGTAGGAGGAAGAGCAGGGCGGAAAGCGGAGGAAGAGAAGAAAAAAAAAGAGGACACGAAGATAAACGATAAAGGACAAAGAGATGTAAAAGCAACAGTCCAAGAGATAGAAGAAGGAAGAAAAATAAAATAAATAAAAAAGGGGGAGGTAAACAGAATCCCGAATGATACGATAAAAAAGAGAGATGTAAAAAGCAAACAGCCCAAGAAGACAGAAGAAGAAAAAAAAAACATGGAAAAGGGAGGAGGTAAAAAATAAAATAAATAAATAAAAGCATCAAAAGAAAGAAAAAGAACCAAAAGGGTCGGAATAAGAATAAGAGTAGGGAAAAGGAGAAGAAAGGAGGGCGAGGAAATGGAGCAGAAGAGGAGCGGGCACGGAACAGAGTCACGGCCAGGCAACGAAAGAATAAGGGGAACTAAAAAGAGAGAGAATAAAACAAATGCGAATAAGAATGAGAGTGCGGACACGTGGAGACTGACGGAAGAAGAGCGTGAGTGAGTGAATGAGTGAAGGCTTGAGTGAACGAGTGAGTGAGTGTGTGAGTGCGTGTGCGTGTGTCCGTTGTGCGTGCGTGCGTGTGTCCGTGTGCGTGCGTGTGCGTGCGTCCATGTATCCGTGTGCGTGCGCATGTCCGTGCGTGCGTTCATATGTCCGTGTGCGTGCGTTCGTGTGCGTGTGCGTGCGTTCGTCGTGTTGCGTGCGTCCATGTGTCCGTGTGCGTGCGTACATGTGTCCGTGTGCGTGCATGTGTCCGTGTGCGTGCGTCCGTGCATTGTATCCGTGTGTGCGTGCGTCCATGTATCGTGTGTGCGTCCATGTATCCGTGGCGTGCATGCGGCGTGTGTGTGTCCGTGCGTTGTGTCCGTGCGTCGTTCGTGTGTGTGTCCCGTGCGTTGCGTGTCCGTGTGCGTGGCATTCATGTGTCCCGGTGTCCGTGTGTGGCGTGCGTATAGTGCGTGTGCGTGTGGTCCGTGCGTGCGTGCGTCCCCAGTCGCCAACAGCCAGCCGAGCGAGGAGCGACAGGAGCCCCCGACCACGAGGCCAAGCCCGAGGAAAGCAGGAGCGCGGAGAGGACGGCGAAAGCGGGGGGGACGAAGGGACGCCAATAAATCAGGGAGCAGGGCGAGGCGGCAATAAAAGACCAGGCACAGAAATTACCGAGAGAAATATCTTCCAGCGGAGGAGGAAAAAAGGAACATGGGAGGCAAAGAAAAATAGAGTAAGAAGGGGAGAGAAAGAGAGAGAGTAGAGAAGAGAGAGCAGGAGAGAGAGAGAGCGAGAGAAGAATGAGAGAGAGAGAGAGAGAGAGAGAGAGAGAGGAGAGGGAGACGAGAGAGAGAGAGAGAGAGAGAGAGGAGAGAGAGTAGATGAGAGAGAGAGAGAAGAGAGAGAGAGAGAAGAGAGAAGAGAGAAAGAGAGAAAGAGAAAGAGAAAGAGAAAGAGAAAGAGAAAGAGAAAGAGAAAGAGAGAAGAGAAAGAGAAAGAAAGAGTAAGAAATGCAGGCCAAGTTTACGGGGAAAATGGAGAAGAGATGAAGCCACTAAGAGAGAGAGCGGGGAAAGCCATTTACCGAAGATGTTCGCTCAGGAAAAGGGAGTTTAATAATAGGAAATGAAGGAGACGAAGAGCAAAGCGAGGAAGATGATGATGATGATGGTGATGATGATGGAGTAGAGGAAGAGGAAGAAGAAGAAGAAGATGATGATGATGATGATGACGATGATGGTGGTGGTGATGTGATGGTGATGGTGATGGTGATGATGATGATTGATGATGATTATTATTGATGATGTGATGATAATGAAAATGATCCTCCACATCATCCCTCATCTCCCCCTCCCTCTCTTCCTTCCCCTTCTATCTTACCCCTACCCTAACCCTACCCCTCCCTCTCCTCTCCCTCTCCTCCCCCTTCTCCCTGACGCCTAAAATTACCGACACGCCGGAACATCGGCTTCCCCCGTGACCCTCGCCGCACCCCCCGCCCCCCGCCCGCCCGCCGCCGCCGCGCCACAGGAATCGGCGTGAGCTCCCAAGCCAACGCCCACGGAAGGATGCCCCACTTCAGTCTCCGGCTGCCCCGGGGGGGGGGGGAAAGAGAGGGGAGGCAGAGAGAGAGAGAGAGAGAAGAGAGAGAGAGAGAGAGAGAGAGAGAGAGAGAGAGAGAGAGAGAGAGAGAGAAGAGAGAGAGAGAGAGAGAAGAGAGAAAGAAGAAAGAGAGAAAGAAAGAAAGAAGAAAAGAAAGAGAGAGAGAGAGAAGAGAAGAGAGAGAAAGAAAGAAAGAGACAGAAGAAAGAGAGAGAGAGAGAGAGAAGAGAGAGAGAGAGAGAGAGAGAGAGAGAGAGAGAGAGAGAGAGAGAGAGAGAGGAGAGAGAGAGAGAGAGAGAGAGAGAGAGAAAGAAAGAGGAAAGAAAGAAAGGAAAGAAAGAGAAAGCAAGAGAAAGAGAAAGAAGAGAGAGAGAGAGAAGAGAGAGAGAGAGAGAGAGAGAGAGAGAGAGAGAGGAGA